CATTAGATCAGTCATGCATACTGTTAGTACTAGTACAAAAAACTTTTAAATTATTCCCTAATATTCTCATTATATATTTTTGTGGTCTTTCAACATTTTCCCTTTTTTTTGGCTGCTTTTTCCACAAATTTTCAGTTCCTCAGGACCTCACCATTCTAATTAAGGCTGAGTATTGTTAACCTCACAATTCAATTGGATTTCAATTCTTTGGGTCACAATTCAATTCTAYTTTGGTTTGACTCAATATTGCTTTAAATACTTCAATATACATTTCATGATAAGGAGAAGCACACAAATAACTTATTATAGTTCCTGGGGATATTTTTTAGATATTTAATTTTCTTAATCATATAAATAGAAATGGTATACATTAACATTTTGATAAATAAAATATCTGAAAATAAAGCTCTAGCAGAATAATCCTTGTTCTAAACATGGAGTGCAAACATAAAAACATGACAAACTGGCCAGAGGATCYAGGTGAATCAGAGGATTTTCTGAATCGATCTTAGAAAAACACAGTATTGCAATGCACTGATAAATCAATATTTTTAACCACCCATAATTCTAATACAAATGTTTATTTTTTTTGTTTGTTTTCTGAAAACTTCTGAATTATAAATCATTTAGACACAAAAAAGGCTACTAAAGCTAAAASATAAATCAGTGTTGAAACAGACAACTGAGAAAATAAGCAATTATTAATTAGGGAAGGTTAGGTTTATTTCTTGACTTTTAAGTTCCCTTCATCTTTTTTTAAATTTAGCATTTTTAGTCTTTTGACCTCCAGTAAACAAACACCGCACAATACGCAATCATATTCAGGTACGATTATTAACCAAAATCCGTTTAAACATTTTAAAAAGTTTTTTGTAAGAATTATTAATTAGGACCACTTTAAAAGGATGCAAAAAAGCAAACAGTCCTTCCTTCCACAGGTTATCTGGGAGAGACACGTCTGAAAGCTCTGTAACCGTTCAATCAACGAGGGGTCAGCGAAATCACAAAAAGTCCGTTTGCAGTGATCTCTTGTTCACTTCAGCCGTAAAGCTGCCATCGTGCCATCCCACTCCATATATTGTATACATAAATTGTTATGAACTGTCCCCCTTGTGAGGGTAATTATTCTCCCTCCCCGAATTTTATGGCATTGGCCTCGTAACTCTYCACTTACAATGGCAGAGCTGAGCTCCGGTGTGGATTTAAGGCTGTCCTCGGTGATGCAGTTTGAAAAAGCCAAGGCTCTTCTACTGACATGGCATGGTTAAGTCAGCGTTCACAGACTTGGTGAACTGAAGAACTAGCATGCCAGAAAAGGTCAGATTGTACAATATGGACACAAATATTGTTTGCGATCGGTTTATTTTCAGATCTAAAGAAATTAAGATAGTTCTTACATATGAGCTGTGAAAAGCACAGGCACAAAAACCAACCTGCAGAGTTTATAAAAATTTATCAAGAAGCAACAAATAGCAGACATTMAATATTTCTGGTATTGCTTTAAAAACATGTTTGACCTACATTATAAAGATAAAATAATAATAATAAAAAAAACAAGGACAGCACAGCTTTATTGGGCACCTTGCAAACTTTTTAAAGGAGCCACAAAACAAAAAGCTGTAAACCTGTTTTCTCCTTGTGCCAAGCTGCGTAGTTCCTGTATTTACTGTGCTGATTTATTGCTCAAGCACAACGTTATCAAGAAAATAAAAAATCAATACTGAATTAGATTAAATGAKTTGACCTGGCTCAACAATGTGACTCTTGACACAACAAAAGGTAATAATTTATGTTGAAGCTTTTGCTGCCTCTGAGTTTAATTTTAATTATAATTTTTTACGAGTGGAATAACAATAAATATAAATCCTATAACTGTAGGCACATTATTAGAATAAAAATCCATGTTTTAATGCCAGAATT